TATACATTTATATATATATATATATATATATATATATAAATGTATATGGTATTTGGATGACTGCACCATAGGAGTAAATCCTGAAGTAGTGGAGGGGGATCTTAATAATTTGTTACCGCGGTTTAAGGAGGTGGGACTGGAAGTGAATACGATCAAGTGTGAGTTTTTCTCCTGTGGGTCTTCCTGTTCATCTTTTTCCCTTTTATCTTCCCTACTTCCTGGTCTCAAAGAGACGTTTCCTGACGACTTCTTTTTGTCGGGTTCACCCATATTTGCAAATGCGATTTCTGATGCCATCGAGGTCAGAATACAACTACTCTTGTTTGCTCGCGATCGCCTCAGGAACATTTTGGCTTACGTCGCCATGTTTTGTTGTGAATGTGTTTAGCCGTTCCTAAAGTAGACGCCGTGGACGACGCCGACGTGGATGTATCCTGGGGGAGTCGTAAAATTTGATGATTCCCTGAAAGACACTGTTGAGACAAGTCTTAATGTGTCATTGAATATCCAGCAATGCAGCCATGCGGCCTTGCCGATCCAACATGGAGGGCTAGGTGTGCGCTGAGTATGGGACGTGGGTTTACCGGCCTACCTTGCCGACGCAACTCATGGGGTTGCGAACTTTGTCACTAATATTTTATCATTTTATGGTGGCAGGGTGAATATACCTTTTGCGGAAAGCGCTTTGACGGCTTGGACGACCTGCAACCCATCTGTGCCTGTACTAGCTCATGCATATAGGCAAGGAGCCTGGGACGATGTAGGAGCCCGACGTGTTCTTTACGAGCTCATAAGCGGATGCGTGGGGGAAAACCTGCCCGGGTTAAAGTCTGTCTCTCAGCCTGAATCTGGCGCATGGCTGCATGCACTACCATCTCCACATCTGGGCACTCTACTCGACAGCGACTCGGTTCGTGTGGCGGTTGCTCTTCGCCTGGGCTGCGATGTGTGCGAACAACATGCATTTGCGGTGCTACGGTGGGGGCCAGCGGCCATCATGCCCTGAGTTGCTGCCGATGTGCAGGGAGATTTCCGCGGCATCATGCCTTAAACGAAATCATCCGTCGGGCGCTGGTTTCAGCGAATACTCCTTGCGTGCTTGAACCTCCAGGCCTCAGTCGATCAGATGGGAAAAGGCCCATTGCAATGACTGAACGAGACAAATATCGTGACACAATTTCCTTCCGCTTTCTTTTGAGACGACGGGTTGTTGGGGTAGGTATCGATGCGAAAGTTTGTAGCGGAAATCGGGCGATGGCTAAGTGAGAGTGGAGATGACTCCCGCGCCGTGTTGTTCTTGGCGCAAAGATTGTCCATTGCCATACAGCGAGGAAATGCGGCAAGCGTGATGGGCACCTTTGCACCCGGGATCAGTCAGGGGCGGGCTTTTTGACGAGTGTGAGCATTGAGCCATGTAATTTATAATTTCTTTTTTTATTTAAATTATTTGTTATTCATGTATTTAAAACTATGATGTATTTATTACAACTAAATTAAAATAACTGATTTGTAAAAACATCGTAAACAACAACTTTTGTTCCATGATTTTTTTGGAAACAGTCAATTTATCAAAAATAAACATTTTTAATAAACATTTTTTAGATCTGTGTAGAGGTATTTTTAGCAACGTCTCCTGCGTGTGTCGTTTATAAAAATAACGGTAGTGGGTACTTTCTTTTGCTACAGAGTTATCACCATTGGAGTCATGGTCAATGATTAGAGCGATCTATTTAAGTATATTAATTTTGTATGACAGTAAAACCTGATTAATTATTAAAAGTTCTGGAACAAAAGTAGTTGTTTTTGATGTTAGTAAGTAATTTGTATCTATGAGGTTATTAATATTTTAGAACTAACCCTGATGTTTTTTTGGGTTAGAACCAATGTGAAATAACGTCTGCATTAAGTTCGCGTAGTGTCTATATCAGAGAATAAAAAAGTAACGTCATAATTATACTACGGGTCGGGGCCCCTTCTGCTTCCGGGCGTTATGACATTATTGTTACTCCAATTCAAAACTTTATTAATTAGTATGTTTTATCCAAATACAGACATTCCAAGCCATAGCGGTACGCTACCTCCACACCGCATACAGAAACGGCTTGCATATTGGTAATCAGATCGTTTCCAACGCCTATCTTCTCCGTTCCCTCAGCGACGCCGAGCAAGGAGGGGAACTACTAAGATCGAAATATAAAATTTACCGCAAAAGGAAGTCTCGTACCTCTGAATGGGTCGCTAATAGATCCATAAGAGCCAAAAGATATACTACGTCTTCCGCATCCGATGTGAACAGTTCGGAAGAATTGTTGAAACCCATTGTTGAATAATTTTATTAAAATATTTATAAGCATTAATTTTATATTGAATATTATGCATAGGTATATCAATTCATATAATGTACTATCGCTGCAATATCTAAGGACTTTGGGTCATAAATGTTATAGTAATAATAATAATATAATAAAAATAATAATAATCTTTTTTTTAGCTTAAAATCTGGCTTCTTAAATAATAGTGGCTGGAGCCTCCTTTTAAGCGTAGCCTGTGTTAGGAGGCGCCGCTCTTTCTTAGGTACCTGCACGTTTCAAAAGAAACTTAATTAACTAACGTAACCAAACGAAAAGTATAAAAAAATATTTTTACTACTTCTACAATATATTTTTATCTATTATTGTGTGTGTGTGTGTGTGTGTGTGTGTGTGTGCGCGTGCGTGCGTGCATGCGTGTGTGTGTGTCTGTGTGTTTGTGTGTGCGCGTGCGTGTGCGTGTGTGTGTGTGTGTGTGTGTGTGTGTGTTTTAGAGTGTCGATCTAGCAGTGCCTCAACTTCTTCATATGTTTTTCCCGCGAGCCATATAGGTAGGTAAAATCTTCTTACTTTCATAATGCGTCTTGCTGTAGCTTTTCAATTCCCTATTTAGGATATTGTAAAGATTTGCCGCATGTTTGTTATATTGTCTATTTGCAAATATGTACAGTGGTGGTACTAGAAATTCGTATTAAAAGATCGTGCCTTCTTTTCATTGCGAGTTTCATGTTTTTTTAAAACTGTGCTAGTAACATACAATTTCCTTACCGAGGGAACTTCACACAAGCTACATATAACTGTTCAATACAAAATCTCGTCTTTTTAAAGTGCGTGACCTTAATCGTGACCTGAAAGAGTTCGATTTACAAACCTTCCAGAAATAGATTGCAAGCTCTTATTCTCTTCAGCTCAGCTGTTTTTAAAATATGACTTGGATAAAAATCCATTACAATTACACAGATTGATTCTTTTGTTAATAAATATCTCAATATAATTGAAACAATATTTTATTACATTAATCAATATGAAATAAAATAGAAAGCTTTTTCATGCAGATAGATTTAGTAAGGATGTTCATTTTACATGTTTTTTTTTAATAGATCAAGTTAGAATCCGTTGATGTGTAAAAAACCTGTATGAACAACAACACTGCCTTGTATAAGTAGTGTAGTTACCCTAAACTAATGCATTAAGTAAGTAGTATATTTATGTGCCAGCTTTCTTAAGTAAAGTCCAGAATCTTAAAACAAATGTTAAATAATAAAAATACACTTTAGATGTAAAAAACATTTCTTAGTATTTATTTATTTTCCGATTATGTTCTAGAGTTTCAATTTTCTCGGGTGTGGCGATTTCCTTAAGCCGATTCAGATTGTCCCACCAGAATTGGAGACGGTTGCGGCATATCATGTTGAACCAGGGAGTTACGGGCCCTTCTAGGGATGCCATGAAGCTGAGAAGTTAAAATCAACTAATTGATAATATAGTACTAGGTGCGTGAAAACGATTAAAGATTTCCCAGCTCTAACAGTTACAAAATTTGCATGAAAAGTCGCCTTTGTAATTCATCTCAGTATATAATATATATCTCAGTATGTAATATTTTATTCAAATTTAAATGAGACCACTTCTGAGGTACTCTCTTTCCAACAAAAAAAGAATCATCACTATCGGTTCACAGATGCAGATGAGTTATCGTGTAGCATACATACAAAAAAAAGAAAACAGTCGAATTGTGAACCTCCTTTTTTTGAAGTCGGTTAATTACACGGCTAAGGTTCTAGAAATGAACACACATGAACTGTCACGAACTGCTCCGTATACTTATTAACAGTGATGAAATAAGACCAGGAGCACTCACTCATCAAACTCGTTCCTGGGCACGCAGTGAAACTCTTCAATCTCGTTTGGGTTGAATTCTATGTCCAAGTCTGCCTGCATCACCAGGATGTAATCCATTTCGTGCTCACCCCACACGCCATCAAAAGGATCGTGGTAGTGAATGCGGGTCATTAAATTCATCTGTTTGGTATCTACCTGCAAACCAATTTATACTTTTGTTAAGCTCTCCTATTTCTCACTGTACGCTGATACTTGACCTTTTCTTTCTTTGCAACACATTTTATCTGCCTCTGTTCTTATCCCTCGTTTGATGAAATGAACCTTTTATTCCTTTATTACCTGCCATACATCAAGCCGGATTTACATTTGTCTGAAGTGTCGTGTCTTAACGCGTCAGAACCGTATCGGTTTTACACACAGCACAAGCCTTCACGTCAGATTGCGACACACTAATATAAATCTAACCATATTAAATGTATGAAATGTCTCGCTCGCAGGTTTGACGACTTCCAACCTCCCGAACAAGCCGGTTTCCGAAAGAGTTTTAGTACCATAGACCACATAAATACGCTACGGCAAGTTATACAGAAGACGAGACGAGAGCGTTTGTGGAGTATGAGAAAGTCTTTGATTCGATCGAGACCTGGGCGGTGCTGCAGTCTCTCCAAAGGTGCCAAGTAGACTATAGGCATATCGAGGTGTTAAGGTAGTTAATACAAAAACGCCACTATGTCAGTCCGATTACAGGATCAGAGCTCTAATCCTATCCAACAGCAACGAGGTGCGAGACAGGGAGATGTGATATCTCCGAAACTTTTCACTGCTGCGTTAGAGGATATTTTCAAGCTTCTGGACTGGAAAGGACTTGGCATCAACGGCGAGTATTCAACCTTCGATTTGCCGATGATATAGTTCTTATGCCTGAGACCTGAACACGATGCTCGAAGATCTCAGTAGTGTTTCCCAAAGAGTGGGTCTTAAGACGAACATGGAAAAGACGAAGATCATGTTGAATGCCCATGTTGTACCTGCTCCAGTTAAAATTGGGAGCACTACACTCGAAGTTGTTTACCATTACGTATACCTAGGACAGACAGTCCAGTTAGGTAAGTCCAACTTTGAGAAAGAGATTTCTCGTCGAATCCAACTCGGATGGGCAGCGTTCGGGAAACTACAAAAAATCTTTGCGTCCAAATTACCTCAGTGTTTCAAGACGAAAGTCTTTGACCAGTGTGTATTGCCAGTGATCACATATGGATCAGAAACGTGGACCCTCACTATGGGTCTCATAAGAAGGCTCAAGGTCACTAAGCGGGCAATGGAGAGAGCGATACTCGGTATTTCCCTACGTCATAGAATCAGAAATGAGGAAATCCGTAGGAGAAGTAAGGTAACCGACATAGCTCGAAGAATTGCTCAGCTGAAGTGGCAGTGAGCGGGGCACATAGCTAGGAGAATCGATGGCTGTTGGGGCGGAAAGGTTAAGCACCAAAGTTATTTTAAAGGAAATGTTCATGCATCATAATAATTTACATTAAAACCATAACTAAGTTGATTTTCTGTAGTCTACAGATATAAGTACTTAACAATTTTTATATATAAAAAATGACCTCAAAAGTTCTTGGAATTAATTACATCTATTTGCCATCTATTTCAATAAAAATTGAAATTGGTTAGCGGAAAGTTAATGGTTTAACAATACGTCGAATTGAGAACCTTCTCCTATTTTTTTTAGTCGGTTAAAAACGTGGTCCCACCTGATCCAAAGGCACGTTCAACTCGTGGTGAAGCTTACGTCTCGCGGCGGATTTTATGCTTTCCACTTTGCCGTTTATGAATAGAGGATGACTACAGATTGTGTTCGAGTAGTATCCTTGAAAGTGTACCTGTAAACATTATGAGCTTGAAAACTTAATAGCCATGGGTGTTGATTTGCGGAAACGCAAACTATGTCTAAGTTCAGTACAGTTGTTATCAGTAATAAGTAAAGTTGTTATCACAGTTTTGGTCTTCTCTTAACAATATATTAGACCAATTATGTTGCTGAATCTATTAGAATCAATATTTTACCTTTTTATTAGATCTCCTTTGTATATAAATGTCTCCTCGTCCATTGAATAGGAATAGGCTAAACGCTCTATGCAGTAATACTGTGCCTTCCGGTGACACCTTGTGACAATCCTTCTTGCTAGCGGTACCTATTATGTTGTCTTTATGGTCCACCAGCACGCACAACTCTTTTTCTAGGTAATTAAGCTGAAATGCGTGTAACAACTTAACCATACAAAGCCAGAAAGTTTATTCGTATCCTTGGCATAACCTCCTAAGGCCAGGCCCCGTGATATATAGGTTATTTTATTACATCTAGTGACGGGACGAACAAGTCGTGCGCCTGATGGTAACCTACACGCCTGTCCTTAACAGTTACAGTGCCACTCACAGCTTTAAATTACAAAGATCCTAGGGTCACTACCACTGCACCCGTCACTCTGAGACATAAGTTGACAAGTCCCATATTCCTGTAAATTCACCAGCACCCGTACCTTCTAAATCGGTAGTATTCTGGGTTGAAGGTAAAAGCTACATGATATGTGGTCATACGTAATCAAAAGAATACGAACTGCAGAAACAAACACATTCACATGCGTACATTTGCGTTTATAAGTCGCCTATTCAAGCATAAAGATGTTAACGAGTAATTTCGTTCGTAGAATCTCTTTAAACTTCTCTCATGAAAAGTTGTAATTTTGCAGATGTGGCCTTATTACATCAATTCCAGAACTCTACTCAATGCTCAAGTCAGGATTTGAGTATGATTTCAAGCATTGGAAATACGACCCTTGAGTCCCTAGAGACCCGGCTTGAGTATGATTTCTAGTGCTTTAAATCATACTGATGTCCTGATTTGAGCATTGAGTACAGTTCTGGATTACGACCCTTACAGTAGTGGATTTAGGGTTGCTAACCGTCTCCGTTCACGGTAATTTCTTTAATTTTTAGCTCAAATTATTTCGTCGAAATGGTATTTTGGCAAATGAGTCTAAAATGGGAATTTAATTATAACCGAACTCTTTAAGTTTTCGCAATTGTTACACATATTAAATGAAACTATGTATTTTTCCGGATTTAAATAGCGTATATTTGTTTTTTCAAACAAACCAACGTTTCGGGCCCTTCACGGGGAAGTGAAAGGATCATTTCCTATAAAACCGAACTGCTTAGCCTATTTTATTTACGAATTCGATTATCTCTTGTGTAAATATTGCAAATCACGAAAAGACATATTGCGCGTTAATGTTATAACAATGCATATGCAATTTTTAAGTTTAAATAATACGAAATTTAACTAAAAATGCAATGATTTTTTTTTTCCAGGGTAAAAAGAGGGATATCCCGAATTTTTAAGCTTCATGATCGATTGTCACTTGAGGCCCAAAAATTAGGTTGCAACCCTGAGTGGCGTGTTTTTTTATGATACCAAGTGATAGGACGAACAAGTCGTGCGCCTGTTGATAAGTGATACGCCTGTTCACAGCAGTTGCAGTGCCATTCAGAGCTTTATATTGCAAAGATCTGAGGGGCGCTGCCACTGAGCCTGTCACATTGAGACAAGTTAACAAGTCCCATGTGCCCGTAAAATCACCAGCACCCTTACCCTTTTAAACCGGAACGGAGTAACGCTCGCATTACTACTTGGTGGCAGTACTTCCCTGGACGAAGTCTTCCACAAGGAGCTCTACTGCTACAAATTGTAGGTGGGTAGTAAGTATACGGGTAAAAGATAGTTCACCTGTTCAGGATCCACATTCTTCGTAGGATCAAATTGTAGTGCCGACGATTGCGTGACTAAAAGCCTATTTTGTCGCCCAAAAAGTTTTCGTAACATATTGCACTTTCGTATGAGCACTCTCGACGAATAACTACAATAGAATGATTGATGTCGTGGAAGAAGTAGATAGGTTAATTTGTGTAATAAAAGACGCCATTTACAATATGATCTAAACGTCAGATAACATTTCAAAAGCTAATCTTTTGACTTTTAGGTATTGTTTGCTGTTTTTAGACTTTTGTTATTCAGATGTAAAAGCATAAAATACGTTTTTGTGTTGATTTTTTATAAATATAGGAAAATCGCAGGTATGTTATATATACACAATTTCTGTAATACACAAAGGAAAATTTTAAAAATAGACAAGACTATTGAGAAATCCAGTGCAGAGGCATGACAAAATCCAGTGCGGAGACGAGAAATTTTTGTAAGCAATGAAAATAATGATTTCACTTTTAATATGACATAACCCCAGGTTAAGTGATAGGTGCAAACGTTACTTTTTAAAACTTTGAATTTGACCGGTATGTAAATGACGTAAGGTACAATTTTCAATTAAGAATTTTACATAATAGTTAACCGTACTTGTGTGTCGTCGCTTGATACCGTAAATATTTTGATAAAAACAAGAATTAAAAGAAATATTTATATTTTACAAGCACCATTATAATACAACGTAAAACATTCTTTGAATTTGCGTAATATTCATTAAGATATACCTACGCTTAACAGTAATTACATTGATTTCAAAGAAAATCTAAAATTTGACAAGTTCTATTCTAATAATGTGCTAGACTAGACTATCTTCAAAATAACTTTAAACAAATGTACTGAAAAATATAAATAATTAAAATGCAAGTAAATAATTTTAGATAAAGAAGATTGATACAGTTCTTTCCCTAACATATAAGTCAATTGACCGCAGAACTGGTGAAACCCACTATAAAAGATATCGCCGCTTACATATAATAATACATTTATTTCAAGTAACAAAAACTCATGTATGTGTTACTATATACAAAGGTATATATGCTTTCATTTCGAGTAAAATTTAAAATTGCATTTCATATGGACGCGTGTAGCCCACAACGATGTCTAATTTAATGTAATAAAGGGGCATGCCTATTCCTTAAGACGCGGAGAGCGGGGTAGTGGCTGACGCGCACATCTTACGAAGCGTCAAAACCGTTCACACTTATGAAGAACAATGGCTCAAACCAAAATAGTTCATTTTGTAACTGAAATTACATAAGACAAGAGTTACTTCTAAACTTTCAAGGAAGTAGTATATAGAGTAGAAAATACCTCTCTTTTAAATTCCAGTTATTATAGTATACTGTTTTATATTTTTGATTTAAATAGCAATTATTTTAGTAAATTAGGCAGAATGCCGAATCCTATCAAAACGAAGCCATCTGGCTTGGCGCTCTTCTTGTTCTCACATTTGGAGCGTATAATTATTTTTAACCGACGTCAAAAAAAGGAGGAGGTTATACGTTCGCTGAATGTATGTTTTCAGATATCTCCGTCAATTATGGACCGACTACGAAAATATCTTTTTATTTCAAAAGGTGCACTCTCGTGGTGGTCCCATTGTCACTAAGTCAGAATTTGATGAGGGGATCCCATGAAAATCGAAGGAAATCCTCAAATTTTATAGGCAAGTCTGTGTATTTACCAATTTCTCCATCAATTGTGCACTGATTTTGAAAATTCTTTTTTTGTTTGAAAGGGTATGAGGTGGTCCCTGTTGCTGTTCCGGTTTCGTGTCGGCTATCACAAATTACTAATTATTCTCCGCAAATAAAAGTATTAATATTTTAAATTGTTAATATTTTCCCCGTATATGTACTTAATGTGGTGACCTTTGATCTTAATATTATTTCAACTCACAGACTGAAATTCAAAATTGAGGAACTGTTGAGTAATTTCGTTCAGAAATTATGCAATTTGAGTGGATGTCAAGGAAGCTTCGCTCACTACGCTTAAAAAATTATAAATATTGTGTTTTAATTCTTTGCTGTTGATTTTATACATTCCGGAATTTCTGGAGGTATTATCAGTTGTGTACTACTTGAAGTTTAGCTAAATCTCTGCTTATTACACAGATATATATGAGTGTGTTAAATTTTATTATAAGACTTATTATAAGTCTTAGGGAGCTTTCAGTTTGATAAATTAATCACGTGACAACATTGAGCAAGTATACGATTTCTGTTTTGAATGAATTGGGTGTTTCGCTACATTCTAAAAAGCTCTCGATACATTTTATTAATTATTTAAATATTGATGTTTAAACAAAGGAAAAAAAATGTCAATGCGTAGTAGACGAAAAGTAGTCGGAATATTTCTTAGACGTGCTGTTCTTTGACAAAAAACATTCCATACTTTTATTTTGTTGTATTTGAAACTATAATTGTATATCAACTAACGTACTCATATATTTTACACATTTGTAAAAATAAGTAAAGTGCTGCACGTATCAAAATGCAGTGTTAACTCCACGACAAAATAATTATCTTTGAATAATTGGATGGTGACCTTTGAGAGAAAACTATTTGAAGGCGCCGAAGTTACGCGGTTGAATTTCAGTCAGTTTGGCGCAAACTTTATATAGGGCAATTACATAATATGTATAGGTATTGAATCAGATTCAAATGCCCAAAATTCCAATATTTCTTCTGTATGTACAACATATATTACAATAATGTACATAATTACTATACAACTTCACCAGATCTGCGTTCTTATGACATTAATTTTAATGTATCTGCATTAAGGTTATTTCTCTTCCTTGAATTTGTGTATCTTGTCCGGCTCGGCCACCTCTTTGAGGCGGTGTAAGTTGTCCCACCACAGCTTAAGGCGGTGTCTGCGCACCATGTTGAACCAGGGCGTGAGCGGACCTTCCAGGGTCGGGAGGAACCTGTTATGGTGTACAGTCTTTAGAAGCTATCAATGTGCTCAACATTGTGTAATTGATGATTAGTATTTTAATAGTATATTTGAGTAGTCCACTTGCAAACAGCGCTATGTGACATTTTTAATGATTTTATCTACACACATATCATCAACTCTCTATAATGTGTCCAAAAACCGTAAACATTAGAGAGCTTATAATATGTGTGTAGATAAAGCAGTGCATGTAACTGTACTAAATTAGGCATTAAAACACTCGTGAGATGTTCTATGAAAACCCACACTCATATTTTAATGCTTTTCATTATGTAACAGTCACATAAATTTCTATTTAGTTAATGGCGTGAAATGGAACAGTATTTTAAATAATTTCATATACTTCAACAATACAGTGCTAAAACTTGGCGTATTCTGAACAAATCAGTGTCAACTGTTGAATACTTTTGTAAAAGTAGCTATCTTTCTTAATTTTACACTTTCAAAAGTTGCCATTTTGTCGTCAACCTGTAAAGGCTGCTCTATTGAGTATAAACTCGTGCAAAATATTTTATTTTGTTTGGTATTTATTATTTTGTCATCCGAGAGGTCACTCGTGTTCATTTATTAAAAACTTGATCGTTTGGTCTACATACGAAATTCTTGATTTGTATTCTCATATTATCGGGCGAAGAAGAAATGACAGATAATGAAGATACATTGATGGTTGACGACGTGGATATAAGAGTCTAAAGGAAAATTAAAATTAGATACAAGTTGTATTTTTTACTATTATTATAACAAAACTAGCCATGTTATGATTGTGTTGTTGCAAAACTAGCTACGTTAATTCTGAATAATTACGAAACTAGTTATTTTAAGATTGCTGTTGCAAAGCTAGCTATGTTCAATTTTTAAATGGAATCAAGTAAAAAGTTTAATACTGTGATTTTGTTTCTTCATATTGTTTATCTCTTTTTAATATAATTTTCAGATAATTAAAAGAGTACCATTTCAAAATCCGTTTTCGGAACAGTAAATGTTTTTTTTTTAGTTTATAGCTTTTTTAGCCACGCACATAACGCAGTTTGCTAGTCGACTACTCATTTAGTCAATAATTAGGAGTTAAAACGAAACACAAAGTTCTGTAACAAACGCATACAAAAATTTGTAAGGTCTGCTGGACTTAATCTGTAGCTCAATTGATAGATTTGTAACGCAAGTTCGAGTCCTGTCAGATCTAGGAAATTTTTCTTTGTGTTCAAAAAAACTACAGATCCATCGTTTTACTAAGTCGGTTCTTGAGGTAGCTGCGCGGTGCAGAAGGGGTGACAGTTTACGTAGCAGTTATATCATCAGGTAATTAAGTTACGTAACATTACTTTTGATCTTTTAAATATAGAAACGAAAAAAGTCACGATTTCGCGAATTTATAACGTATGTTCAGCATTAATAAATGCTGCATGATAATTTACGGTGCTTTTTCTTATTTCTTCCATCTGTTTTTAGATATTCGGTGTTCGTTATTCGGCCGAATAGCAAAAATAGGCCGAGTAAGCCGAATAGTAATCGAACATTCGTTGCAACTCTAAATGAAACCTATTTCGAGGAAATCACAACCATTGGAACCCGCATTAGGCCGTCGTGGGCACGTATAATGTGTTGATGACGTATATACTTACGCGTTAAATTCATTCTTAGGCACAAAAGCGTACTCGGAAATCTCATTCGAGTTAGGTTTGATCTTAACATCGGCCTGCAACACGTAGATGTGGTCTATTTCGTGCTCGCCCCATACGCCGTCGCCGGAGTCGTAATAGTGTATACGGGTGAGAAACGTGAATAATTCTGGATTCATCTGTTTTGATAAAAAAAAAAAAGTGAAATATACTGACGGGATTCAGTCTATTGTTACGGTCAATGGTTTTCAATTAGTTATTCTCAAGATATTTTATTATATAATCGACTATGAACTGGCAACCGGTACTGTCTCAATTTTCTAAACATTTCACTTTTTAATACCATTTTATACTATTTCATAATCCGCAGCGTTGCAAGAAATTCCACCTCAATTTAATTTTGGCGCCAGAATCGACTTCATTCTACTTGTACTAACTTCTATCCAGATGCTATATAAATGACGTAAACAATTCTTTTTTCATCCTGTAAAATTGTCAAAATTGAGATAGTACCGGTTGCCAGTTCACAGTCGATATGATGACCTTCATGGTATATATAGGTTCCGGGTTCGCTCCCCGGCCAGGTCAATGTAGAAACTAACTTTTCTATATTTATTTATTTATTATTGTCTCGGGTCTGCGTGTTTGTGGCACCACCGTTGTTTCCGACTTAACATAAGTGCTTTAGTTCCTTAGTTTGGGATCAGAGCCACATGTGTGATGTTGTCAATAATTTATAATTACTATTTATTATTTTAGTAAAAATCTCTATAATTATGTACCCTTCTTGAGGAGATGAAATAATTTACTATAATTTTAGGGTTTTTAGTGTGGCATGTAAATATTAATCAAGGCAAGCTTTAAGATAATATCCGCTATTGTACTGCTAATTGGTTAACATTGGTTTAAGAATCTATCGGGATGCCCATACGCGTTCCCGGTCGACTAGTGAGTGCATTTGACTGTTGTCAGCATTGGTCAATGTATTGAAAGTTTGGTGATGTAATATTAGGAAATGAAACAATTTTTTCGGAGTTAAATCGCGTATATATATTTTTCAAACAGGCCATCGATTCAGGCCCTTTACAGGTTTCATGGACACGGCTGTTGTAACAGTAATTTTTTTTATTATTATCACAGTGATTTTGCCAATTGCAATAATGTTGAAAAACGCAATTTCAACTATCACAATAAAATACGGTATCAAATAACGTATAAAACTACGTAGATTAGTTAAACAAAAAAAAATTGCTTGATTTTGCGTCACTTACACATTTTTTTCACAATTTTTTTTATCACACTTCTCTTTGTTAGAATCCCACACTTTGATAAAATGCTTTATAAATGTGTCGTAAGACTTAGATGCCACACAACAAAGAACGCAGAACCGCTTTCTGTTTCCGAATCCCTTATGAGTGATTTACAAAGAATTAGCTGTTGCATTTATTCTGTGACAATTACCGAGTGCTTTCCATTGTTGGAAGCAAACAATAAGAATGTTATTAATAACGAAGTAAAATCTCACCTGATCTAGAGGGATGCCAAGCTCATAGTTGAGTCTGCGCCGCGCAGCAGTCACCATATTTTCTTGCTGCCCATCGATGTACAGAGGGTGGCTGCAGCATGCGTTGGTATAGTAGTCGGGATATGTTACCTGTAGCACAGTTGGGTATATACCTATTTTAATTAAGTGTGATGTGGCCATTCCTTCTCACGCCTCGACCTTGGCCTGGTTCAGTGGTACCCTCATTAATAAATTCCATGCCTAATAATTTTCAAACACTGAATGTAAAACATGAGTGATTCAATTGTTACTACTAGTCAGTGAAGGTCAAATGCAAAATAATTGTATTTGTATCGAGTATTTTCTCACGCACCTTCTGCATATTACAATTAATCAATTAATGTTTTTTTATGATAATAAGTGATGGGACTAAAAACGAGTGCCTGGTGACAAGCGCTTAGCCTGTCCATACTCTTTTGTTCTAGTAAGAAAACATCTATTTTTCACATAAAGGTAAACAAAACCATTGACAATGACACCATCGGTTATAAGTGGATGGTGTTCTGCATTGTGTGTTAATCCACAGATTGAAGTTCCAAGGCATTCAACATTAAAGATGTTTAGCAATCTTTTGTTATTACTCCATTACATTGTTTTTAATTATAGTCTATTTGTTTAGGTACTTAACTAAATGTAAATAATCATGATACATCTTTTTATTGAAACATATACTTTACAAATAAATAGGTATAAAAATAGGCATGCAATTTCACAAGAAGCTAAATTAAGAAGGTAAGTTGCAGTGCCACTAATAGCTTTAAATTGCAAAGATCTGAGGGACACTGCCACTATGCCTGTCACCTTGAGACATAAGTTGATAAGTTATATGTATACATATGCACGGGTACATCCCGTGCTTATGCCCGAAATTACAGATTTCACCAACACCCTTACCCTTAAAAACTGGAACGCTGTAATGCCCACATTACTGCCTGGCAGCAGAAACAGGTACGGTTACAGTACTTCGCTAGACATACTCTTTTTTCAAGGAGCTCTACTCTGATTGAAATTGATCTCCATGTAAAAGTAAGTTAATTAATACATAAAACCATTAACACAACTTACTTTGCTGTTAGATCTTCTTTGCAGTAATATGTCTCCTCTCTTATTGAAGAGAAATACACTGAAAGCACGATGGAGTGGGATATTCCCATCAGGGCTAACCTTGTGACAATCCTTTTTGGAGGCCGTGCCTATGAAGGTATCTTTGTCATCCACTAGCAGACAAAGGTCTTTTTCTAGAGCTGCTAGCTGTAAAAGTGAATAATACCATTATGCATATTTGTTAATGTAATTAGGTACATAAAAATATAAAAAAGCCTATAGCCATCTGTCAAGCATAGGCTACGGGTTCAAATCAAGGCACCTCTGAGTGTTTCAGACTTTATGTTGTGAAACCTAATTTGAAATTAAACTTGACCTTTTTGGTGAAAACATCGCAATCAAATCTGCATGTGGAAGTAGGCTCACAACCTTGGGAAAACACGTAAAGTCCCCAACCCGCATTGGGCCGGCCTATAGCCCAAACCCTCACCTGAGAGGAGGCCTGTACCCAGAACTGGGACATATAAATGGGTTGATGATGAATTTGGTATATGATTAATAATTGCAGACGTTGATTTATTTAGGTAAATCATTGTCCTATTACCGTAAAGAGGCCTTCCTATGGAACTATTATTTTTGGAGATCATATTTCTACTAGTTAAGGCCTATAGTATGCTAGAATTTTAGTAAGTTTATAATATTTATACATATATGCAAAAAGGTTCCTTTTGAAGTAATGTGCAAATGAGCATAAAAAATCCAATACCGTAATATAAATTCATGATGCAGGGTTACCTATCATAAGCTAGAAACATGATTTACAGAATTTTGTTTCTCTGAAAACCTTTAGATTTATATTGAATAGATTTTGTTTCTTTGTCTGAAAACACGTTATGGTTTTTTTCACATCATTTAATGTTTCTTCATTATTTTGACATATTGACAAGTTATTCTTTTCCCGATTTTTTCCCCAACAAGCTGTTTGACCAATGGACCAATGTATCTAATTCAATATTTTTATTTTGTAAAAAAATTATATCCATGATTAGTGATGGGCAGCCGGAAACTTTCCTAAATTGGAAACTTTCCAGTCTGAATGTTTCTTGAAATATTTCGGAAACATTCTCAAAACGCGAAATTTATGGAAATTTACATATTTACTTTGCATTTTTACTATCACATATTCAAGAAACATTTAAGAAAAGTTATAGTTCTATATCATGGTTGTAAAACCAAAATACTTTTTTTGAAGAAATCGGAATAAATAAGTAAATTTCCGTAACTTCTCTTAAATGTCCATAAATTGCATGGAAAGTTTCCTGGAAATTTCATACTCATCAAAAGAATGAATGAAATAAATATTCGTAATCCACTTAGATTTTGCCACTTTTTTTTTTTACCGTATATGTATTAATAGTTAATATGTTGAAATTAGGGTATTAAATTTGGCACAGGAATCGTTTTCATGAACCTATTTAATTAAAAAATTTAAGAACGTGATTTGTTCTGATAATATACTGTTTGAGAGATTTAGAAATAATATTAAAAATAATGGTGGAATACTTTCTTTGGGCAAACAAAATTGGGCCAGATGACCAACAAAATTTTGACCGTACCATCAACTTCTGCAGCAGTGGAACGATAGTTTTCAACATTTGGGAACATACACTCCACTAAACGCAACAAATTAACAACAGACTGGAAAACTAAGTTACGTTTCACACAATTGGCGACTTTTAAACGCTCCACATAAAACAGCGAAGATTTCAGATCAATGCTCAATTGACCACCTGAACGCTGACATTGATTTGCTAACAGAACCTTATGATAGAAATGAGGACACATTATCAGTAGCTTCCTGTTCAGATACGACATCATGGAGCAGTGATGAGTTGCATACAGATTAGTATTAAGTTTTATATTTTATTTTGATTCTTAAGTTTTTTAATCCCAGTATTTTTCATAATTAAGAACCAATCTGTGATTTTGTTATTTGTTCTTGAGGTACCTATTTTAATTATAATTGTTAATGTTTGAGCACTGAATAATTTTACTATAATATATGTTGATTATTTTGTAAATTGTTATTGTTGATTATATTTTAAAACTTTATTGGTCTACAAAGTGCGACAAGCTCCTTACATACCTATTGTATAGCATTTTTTTTTATTATTCAATTTTTCAATTTCAATTATTTAATATAACGTTTTAAATCACCTTTGTTATGCATTATTTTGATCCCCACATTAAAATTATCTATAAAAATATAAAATAATGAAGATGTTCTGAAAAATTTCCAAAAAGTTTCTGAAATATTTCGTAGAAAGTTTCTATGAAATATAAGGAAATTTAAGAAATTTTGCAGTATTTTCACGAAAATGGATTTCTGTGGTATTAATAAGAATTAAAATGTGTCAATCAACTTAACTTCAAAATATTTCTTCATATGAAAAAAAACGTTTTTGCACCAAAGTATTCAACTTTTTATGTAAATTTCGCATTTGCGAAACATTCTCGCAATGTTTCCGAGAATATTTCCATTTTCGGAAATATTCTCGGAAATTTACCAACCCTATCCATGATACATTTTTGTTATATTATTTTTTATTACAGGTATTAAAAGTATTGGAACGTGTCGCACAGTACAACTCGTCAAATTACCTCGCATCTTTAGAAAATATGGTTAACAAGATGCTAGTTAATTAGATTGAGTGGTAGTCGCTCACTTCGTTTGTTCAGATTGTGCTGTTTTTCATATACTAACCTAACCTAAGCCTACAGGAGGGGGTTGTGCCGTCTAGGTAATGCAAACAAATTCGGCTCTATAAGTTATTTATTGAATACTCAAGACCATTGTTTTTAAATTACATTTCACATGACAGCAAAAACATAGCACAATGGTATAATGAAAATAAGTGACGAACATAAGTGGACTTGCTGTGCACCAGCAAAGTACAGTCCAGAATTTTGGAGCTGTATGGTTAAATTGTATAGCGGTACAATTTTATCTTGTACTAATTAATTTTTTGTCTTGTACTGGACAAACAATATTTCTGCAGTAAGATATTTCTGTGTTGCAAATTTATACCAAAACTGTTATCGCACGAATGAAAAAAAGTCGAACCGTTTTCGGAGTAATGAAATTCGGAAAAAAGAAATTTGAGTTTGTGATGGGTTACCAAAAAGCAGACTACAGACAAACTGTTCTGTGTCCTAACTGCATTTCAATTGCCATTTTGCATTTGCAATGCAAGTAGAATGCAACTTAAATGATTACTGTTTATTTATTTATTTAAAAAAAAGAAACAGTAATAAATTGTATCCACTAAGAGATACAATAGGTATTTTATAAACTTAAAGTATTAGACATAATATGGTGCGTAGTTAGCTAGTTTGTAAAATTAAATAGGGGGACTCCCCTATAAAAAAAAACACCATTTCCATTCTCACTGACTAGTGAGAATGGAAATGGTGTTTTTTTTGTGTGTGTGTATGTATGTGTTTTGAGACTCTGCATGTGTGCATTTAAATGGTTAATAGGTTTATACCTGAGCAGCATCAATGCTTTCTTTAGTTTCTAGCTTTGTACTGGCAGTCTTAGAAGAAAGGCACCTCTGCTCCACACGAAGGGCATTGCAAAGAGCCCGTCCTATGCCTCTAACTAACATATTCACTGTAAAGAAAATCAATTTGCTTGCAAGTTACACAGTACAAAATAAGTAAATATATAACATATGTATGTCAATACATAAAACATAAATATGAGACCTATAAGCCCATTTCTTATTCGTAAAAATGTATACTTTCATAAATTTACAACAAAAAAATTTCATTAACTTTACTTGTCATTGAATTTATTCTAATAACCATGATTTTACTGTACATAAGTTTGTATGGATAAACGCGTACAAAAATACTGTGCTTATTGCAATCTAAATACCGGAATATCATCAACTATGCCGAAGAATAATCGCAAAAATTTCACCTTAAATAAATTCTCGTTTCGAAAAAAAAAATTGTCGTTTCGTACTAGAATTACATAAAAACACTGATTAATCGTTTAACTATCAATTACTTGCTTGTTAGCATTTTAAAATAAAAAATCCCAACAGCTGAGCGAGCAACACAAACCACTATTATAGCCACAAACTGCTAATATAGCGAGCAACGCAGTATATAGCGACTTTGACATTTCACAGATTTTTTTATTAAGAGTTTTGGCTTGGATACAAGTCCTTTGAGCGATGTCTTCCTTTAATTATCGGAATAATATTTATTTATTTATTTAATTTTTTTGTAAATAAATATTTTCCATTGTGGTTCTACAACATTATGTTTTCACTTTCTCTTAAATACCTTAGTTCTCGTATTTGGGCTTTTTAAATAGACTTTTATGCGGCGGGAGTTAATATTTATTTTTTCACTTTCAGAAATCACATTATTGTCACTTTCAACAAAATCTTTGAATTCGTAATTACTGGAATTTTCAGGATAAACTGTTTTATAATTTAGTTTAAAGTAAGGAATGTAGTCCTAACTTTCTTCATCACAATTTCTTTCTTCATAATATACTTAAAATAAAATTAATCTTTGTAAAAACTGTGCTTGTACATAATTTCTTGAATCATGAAAAGAAAAATAATTTTCGTTTAGAAATCAATCACGATTTCGAAACAAACGGCCGCCTCTTATATGCTCTTAGGGCGCAGTAGAAAATTGAAGATTTGAAAAAAAAAGTGTTGCTATTCTTTAACTGAACATTAAGCTGGTTAAGACCAGATCGCAGAAGGCTTTCTGAGATTTAAGAAAGCGATTTTATTACCTACCGCGCCTTCTGTATGAGCATTTACCTGAACCCATTCACTATAAAGTTGTAGAGCAAATTTTTTAGCTAATTTTAATTATAGGAAATGAAACTATTTTTCCCGGATTTAAATCGTGTATGTTTGTTTTTCAAACAAACCGACGTTTCGGGCCCTTTACAGGTCCCTTGGTCACGGTTGACTGAGGTGGTACAGTCTTCAACCAGTTATGTCTAATATTAATGCAAACCACCCTATTTTTTCACTATAGTTACAATAGTTATTAATTAAATACCTTATTTTACAAATTTGATTTTACAAAGAAAACATTTCAATTTACGCTACATTAAGTTTTACAAATTATTTATTGAATGAATTTTTATTAAGTTTTATTTATTATTAATTATTAGTAGAAATTAGAATAAACTAAAACATATTAATTAGTACTGCAGTCTTATGTCTGTTTGGGATTTTTCATTAGAGGAAATACTGGATCCCAAACTGGTGGTACGGAGAAACCATCCTCCCTGTTGAAATTAGGATATTTTTTAATTTCAATGGCCACTCGCAGCATCCTGGATAGATAACGGACTTCTTTTGCAAGGACCTGGGGTTTGTCAAACTTCATTGAATGTGTAGGTTTATCCATGACATGCTCGCAGACTGCAGACTTGTTTACGCAACGGTGTCTGACATCAGCTGTATATTCTTTGACGCGGGTACAAATACTTCGCTTTGTTTGTCCAATATAAGAGAGACCGTACTCACAGTCAAGCTTGTAAACTCCTGCATCCTGTAAGGGGATGTTACATTTCACGGGTCTCAGGAACTGAGAAATCTTCCTCAGGGGCTTGAAATAGGTCTTGATAGATGCACGCCTGAGGACTCTTCCGATCTTGTCTGTAACACCTCTCACGTAAGGTAAGATGGCAGGTCTTCGCTCGACTGTTGGTGGTTTGACACGGGGCCTGCGGCACTGGCGTGGAATCTTCAACTTATTCGCATGTAGGACTTGCTTTATATGCTGAAGTTCCCCTGCCAGATGATTACTGTCGCAGACACCATGCTCTCTGAAACAAAGATTTGCCCATGGTAGCTAACTGGCGAAACGTCGATTTGTTTGAAAAAACAAATATACGCGATTTAAATCTGGGAAAAATAGTTTCATTTCCTATGTGTAACAATCGCGAAAACCTAAGAACTCGATAATTTTAATTAGTTAGCTCTACTACTAACATGATCCAATAATTTGGATATACATTTGGAAACCGCTAAGAACTCTTTTGAATGTGTGTGTGACAGTGGTGCTTAAAATTGCATTCGTAGCGTATCGTCCACGTAGAATAGTTATTTTGACATTGCATCAATCTAAACCTATTTAGACGCAGCGTTACTTTGCGATAAACATTCGCGTGCCGTGAATATCCTAGACGCGGCTAAAATTAATACTCTTAAATTACTCATTTTGAAGAGGTTTAAACATTTTTGAGAGTTAAGAATTTTATTAATTATTTTTTTATGTTCTAAATTATAAGGCTGCCAAGTGGCTGCCTTAGATGAAAGTGTTATAATATAACCTATGTATATTCACACAGAGTCCAATACCGAAAACCACTAAAGAACGCATAATACAATAATTTTGAAAAACATTCAGAGCATTTGCCACTGCCTCCGTGGCCGAACGGTTACCACGCCGGACTGCCATGCAGAGGTCTTGGGTTCGATTCCCAGGCCGGGAGAAATATGTGTATGGCCTACATTTATTTCTCTCGTGGGTTTGGGTGTAATTTGTGGTTGTCTATGTGTGTGTCCATGGCACCCGCGACACAGGGTTTCCCTAGTGCGGGGCTATGTTGAGTGTGTGCGTTATTATTATTATAATTTGATGTAAATCTTAGATAGTACTACTTGGTACTTGGTGTAAGGCTAGTGTCCGCAACTCGACGTCAAGGCGCCTATTTTGCCTATCTTAGATAGTAATTTCGACGTGAATCCTAGACACATTGTTTTTAGAATAGTCATGTCTAATAATGTTCTATACCAAATAAAAAAAGACGTTTTACGTGGGCCTATCTACCAATTTACCATTTAGATATCTCCTAATGAACGAACTTAACATCGGATTTTATGGATACACTATTCTAAGATTGCATTGTATTATGTGAACACCGCCCATTAAGGTTATTTTTAATCCCAAAACTATCTATAAACGTTGCAGGAAGTCGTGACCCCGGTTTAAAATAACTCAGCCTGACCAAAATGCACAGACGTGCAGTCGATCCTGTGTGTCCGCACACTGGTTTAGTTTGTGGTGAGTTGTACTGTGTTAAGACCAGAAAATGTCCAACGTTAAATTAGCAATTAGAGTGCGGCCGTTTACTGAAAGGTATATTCTTGACCTCGTTTTAACGATAGTTTTTTAGTGTGCTAAGAGTAGGTTTCGAGGTTTAATGAATAATTTAATAAATCGGATTTCAGGGAACTTAAATCAGAGATGGATCGAGTCTCCGTTGTTGATGTTATCGATGATCATACGGTTACCATCACTAATGTAAAAGTAAGTTGAATTATAATATTAGTAGCACACACGTTTGCACCAAACTTAACCACTGTGGTGGTTTCGTATCATTCAACTCTTAATAAATAACAATTGCGCAGGTTAGTGCGTCAGGCGCTGGAGACAGCCGCGAGCGTGTGCGTCGTTACAATGCCGACTACACTTTCGACAGCGCTTGTCAGTCTACTGAACCGTCGTACGCTTCTCAGGAGAAGGTCTGTTGTGTTTCGAATCTTAATCAATGCATTAATTAAATATTCTTTATTGTACATAAAATTATAGTGGCAGCAGAAAACTGAAACGTAAGCATAGAAATAGTAAATTAATGTGCTACAGGCGACCTTGTTGCTATGTAGCCATTTCTTTCAGGGAACCTTACATATTACTAATATAGAGGAGTACTATTTTCACTAAGTTTAATATTACATTTTATTTATCTTCTGGAAGTCGTAGTAGAGTAGTAGCAGTAGAGCTCCTTGTGAAAGAGTTCGTCCAGGGAAGTACTGCCATCGTACCTATTTCTGTTGCCACGCAGTAATGTCAGCATTACGGGTAAGGGTGCTGGTGTAATTGCAGGCATATGGGACTTGTCCACTTATGTCTCAGGGTGACGGGCGCTGTGGTAGTGCCCCTCAGATCTTAGCGATTTAAAGCTCTGAGTGGCACTGCAACTGTTATGGACAGGCGTGTAGCTGTAGCTTACCATCAGTGCTCGACTTGTTCGTCCCGTCACTTGATATTATTAAAAAAAGTCTCAGCCTCAAGACTGTGTACCCAGTTTGGTCAGACGCAGGGATAACTTTTCAAAGTAGAGTGACATTGGCAATAGCTGCAATTCTCTAGAGCGTTGTCCCAGAGAATATGACACACTTAAAACGCTGTTTCAAGAGTCCCTAATAGATATTAGGTCACGTGTACATTTGAACCTTTACGACGCCACAGATCACACAGACACCATCGACTTGTTAAAAAGAAGAAGTGGGTATATTTTATTGAGGTGAATGCAGGTGTTTGAAACTATTGGGCGCGAGGTGGTGGCCAGTGTAACCCGGGGGTCATCAGCGTGTGTGCTGGCGTATGGGCAGAGCGCTACGGGAAAGACGCACACCATGATGGGCACTGATGCTGAACCTGGGTTGGTACCTAGACTCTGCAGGGAGTTGGCTTTGGGGCATCCTTTGGACATAACTATCAGGTACGGGAAACATTAAAATAATATTAAGGACAGAGTGAATATCACAGACGCTTCGAATGCTAATGCTCACTTATATCTTTTCATTGGTATTATCAGGAATTTTTAAGGTTTTGTGTGAAATACTGATGACGTCAGTATGTGATACCAATATAAAATACACATTCAACATACTTTTCTTGAATTATTTTTATGGCTGTTTCTAGACTTTATTTAGCATGTGATCCACTTGACGAATTTCCGATTGAAACTATTCAACATGTTTACGACTCAGTACGAATCAATTTAACTTTGGAGTCTCCACTTTGACGAATAAACCTCCCTAGCGTTTGCATAAATTGAAATTTCGTATAAATTGTTTCATTTTCATTGTCTTATTGCATTCCGTGTGAAGGAGCTATAGATCGAGTCGGTCGCACGCGATGCTTTATTATGACAAAAAAAAGTGTGTAGCTGTACACAACAGACAGATTTAAGACCAAAACAATTTAAAATTCGAAAGAAAAAAGTTTTTTCTTTCCAATTTTGAAATGCTGATATTTTTTGATAATATTTATTTCCTATTGAAAAAGTAGTTAAGTAACATACTTTGTATATATAAATAATAAATACATATTTTTATGGCAAGCATTCGGTACAAAAATGTATGTGTACTGATATTATAAATAAAACACATATTTTACTGGTGGTAGTGTGTGATACCTCTGCCTTATTTATACCTTTAGTAACGCGGCAGTTTAAGCAGCAGTAGAGTGAAAGAATTCGTCTACGAAAATACTGCCACCTTACCTATTTCTGACCGCAAGAAGAATAGTGTGGTATTACTTCGTTCCGGTTTTGAAGGGTGAAAATACAGGCACATGGAGCTTATCAACTTATGTCTCAGGGTTACGTGCAAAGTGGCAGTGCTTCTCAGACCCTTGCGATTTGAAACTTTAAGTAACACTGCAACTGCTATGGATAGGCCTGTTATTTATCACCAGGCCCACGACTTGTTCGTCCCGTCACTTGGTATTATAAAAAAAACAATATCGGCTGTGAGGAGAGCCAGGGCAGGTACAAGAAGCTTGAAATATAATATTACACGCTTGGATTACGCCGCTCACCTGCAATGTTAAGAATACAGTGTCACAAATATGCATTGGCGACGCGAACCGTTGTCTATTAGGTGGACAGTCTTTCTGTTTGCGAGTTTGAATAGACTAAAAACAAAATATATTATTTGTTAACTGGTATTTTTTTTATAGTCTTAGGATGTAATCACACTAGGCACTAAATTCAAATTGTGGGCTGTTACCGACTGCGTGCATTTGGCATACAATCGCCTTGCAGTAGCGGTAATCTACTATACCCTAACAACTGTTTTGCCGTTGCAATGCAGTCATTGTGCAGCTCGTATACGAACAATCAAATTTTAATAGTGAATACCTAATATGTTTATAGCCATTTTATCCAGTTCTTGCATAAATGAAACAAAAACTTTTTGCTCTCAGAAAAGTTTCACAACTTTTCAATATTAATAGTTAAAAATATGTCGAAGTAATCTTATTGTAAGAGGAACAAGTTTTTATAGGCTCTTAAAGTTTATAAAGCAATATTTATCAACGCTTGGATAATATCTTTTATTGTGGCGGCGGCGTACGATTAAGTTTGAATGACGATGGGGCACGACCCAAGGCCAGCTTGACACGCGAGCCCGTTCCGTCGATCAGTCGTTATCTTTACTAATATCTGCATGTTGTACATGTGAAAACTTACATGGTGTTACACAAAACTGAGTTTAATTTTTTTAAATATTAAAGGTATTTAAACCATACCTACTTGAAATCGTAAAGTTTTTGTCTCAATCTGTAAGGCTATTCCTTTCGAATGAATGACAGAGACAAAAACAAAAAGCTTCACGAAACAAAAATGACATCCTAACAAAAATTAGTAAAACCATGTTAATTATGTTCTGTTCTTTTCTTACGAGTACCAGTAACTAATAACGAAAAAGGACAATTTAAATTATTTTAAAATTTTTTTTAATAAAAATAAATTAATCGAATCAACGACATAATATGTGTAGCAACTAAAGAGCCAAAGACAAAATGTTGTCCTTTCAGATTTTCTTAGCGGATAGCACTTTATAGTGGACTCATAAAATGTAAACAGTCCTTACAGGATGGAAAAAAATACAGGATAGTCAATGAAACAGTCACAGTTATAAAAGAAAAAAGTAGGAGATGCTACTCGTCAATGATGCCAAAGTTCCACAACAATAACTGCGATGACAATGATTCTGAAGTCTCAAGAAGGAAGAAAATATTGGAAGAATTATCAAAAATTGGCAACTCAATCGAAATTGCATATGGCCAAAGGTTGGACGCCATAGTGCCAGGAAATATAAGAAAAAAAAAATGATGCCAAATATTTTTGAACTACCTAGCTGTTCGCATGAATAAGTACGTTGACTTAAAAGTACATCACTATTTTTATCAGGTGTAGCCGCATTTCTGTCTCAAAGAAACCTGCTCAAACGTCGGCTTCATTTTGCTTATGACTTGTATTAGCAGATATAGGTACCATGAAATTGCCATTCGTTTTTGGTAACTTTGGGATAATGGTGGGTACATTATTGTCAAGGTCCAAGAAGTAAGCAATTGCTGTTCTTCTATAATACGAGTGCGTTACTGTTCCCATCGACACTTAGACCTACATAGAGCTTTTCTTAACAAACTGAAATTACATAAATGACGTTACGAAATTAACTGTGTTAGTTGTCTCCTGTTCTCACACGCCTGTACCGCCTCTCACTTGAGACTGGTGCAGTGGAAGCTTGCAAACGGGCAACCTGTGCCTAAATAGGGAAGCAGAGCTGATCCTGTCAACTATAGACCTATCTCTGTCACTTCCATACTCTGCAAGACTATGGAACGTGTACTCTACAACCGTCTCCTATCGTACCTTGAAGACAACGACCTCCTCAGTGATCGCCAGTACGGATTCCGACAAGGGCGATTTACTGGGGATCTTCTTGTGTATGCCTGTCACATATGGAGCGGGGCTATAGAAAAGCAAGGCGAAGCACTTGCAGTGTCTTTGGACATTTCTAAAGCCTTTGACAGGGTCTGGCACGCAAGCCTTTTAAGTAAGCTTCTCTCTTATGGGTTTCCCAACTGACCTTTGCAATTGGATCTCGGATTTCTTGAGTGAACGTTCGATTCGAGTGGTCTTAGACGGCTACTCTTCCGAACATATGGCGATAGATGAGTTCCTCAGGTTTCCGTACTGTCTGCAACTCTCTTTCTGCTGCATATCAATGATATGTTAATTCCAGGTACCTTTGCGTATGCTGATGACAGCACAGTTGTAGATAGATGCTTGACCAATGCAAAGGTCAGTGGAGAGGAAATCCAGTCTTGTCGAGAGTCCATGGTTAGCCATTTAGATTTGACCTTCCAGGCAGTCTCCGATTGGGGCAATGCCAATCTTGTCAACTTTAACGCTACCGAAACGCAGGCGTGTCTATTCTCCACAAAACGGAGTCCTTTTGAGCGGACTTCGACTTTACGTGGTACATCCATACCGATAGCCGATTGTCTCCAGCTACTTGGAATGGACCTGTCGTCCAATTTGAACTTCAGCAGATACATTGAATTCATGGCCAAAAATGCAGCAAGGAAGCTTGGGATCCTTTCCAGGGTGAGGCGTTACTTTACACCGGGACAATTGCTTCAGCTGTACCAAGCACAAATCCGATCGTGCATGGAGTACTGTTGCCACCTTTGGGATGGCTCTGCGACATATCAACTGGCCACTTTGGATTCAATTGACAACCGTGGCAAGAGCCTTACAGGTGACTCGGAATTAGTGGAGGCGAAGCTGCAGAGCCTTGAACACTGCCGTAAAGTTGTCTGCTTATCGGTATTTATAGGATATATCACGGAGAGTGTGCGATGGAATTACACGATTTAATTCCGCCTTCCCCTTTCCATCATCGGGGGACCTAGCCGTAGGCTTGGGTTCCACCTCTATGTTGTGGATATTCCAAAGATTCGCACGAAGCGTTACGCTTCCACATTTATATGGCGAACGGCCATGGAGTGGAATTCGCTGCTTGCAGACTTGTTCCCTGTACGTTATAACTTGGACCTTTTCAAGGCGAGAGTGAATAGGCATTATTTAGGTGTGCATGCTCCATCGCCGACGTCATCGTCACTTTCCATCAGGTGAGATGGAGGTCAAATGCGCAGCACCTATTATTATAAAAAAGAAAAAAAATATAAAGCGGGCAATTGAATATAATATTAAGTTAGTAAATATTGTTGTAATTGTGACTTTTTAAAACAAAATTAAAAAGCACTTGGATGTTGTATACAATGGCCAAATATTTAAAAGTTTTAGTAGCAGTATAGCTCCTTGTGAAAGAGTTCGTCCAGGGAAGTATTGCCACCTTACCTATTTCTGCCGCCAAGCAGTAAAGTCAGCATTACTGAGTTCCAGTTTTGAAGGGTAAGGGCGCGGGTGAAATGACAGGTACTGGGTCTGGTCAACTTATGTCTCAGGGTGACGGGCGCAGTGGTAGTGCCCCTCAGATCTTTACGATTTAAATCTCTGAGTGGCACTGCAATTGTTATGGACAGGCGTGTCGCTTACCATCAGGCGCACGACTTGTTCGTCCCGTCACTTGATATTATAAAAAAGTCTTAAGAAAAAAGTCTTAAAAAAAGTCTTAAAAGATCTTATTAACGTAATTATCCAATCGAGGCAATTTTTCTTAGTGTTCGGTCTTTGTATTCTTTATTATAGCGAACTGGTGGAGAGTTTTCTGATAAAGTGGTTGAATGTCATGGTAATTCACATCATGATATTCATTAAACTTAAAATTATAATTAAAAATTACCTACAATTTGTTGCTTGGAGGTAATTATTTTGTTGGTTGCTACCTTATTTTACGTATGTTCAGTGTCTATCTAACGTAACTTGGTTTAAACAGTAGTGGAAACTGTTTTGGCCAGTGT